GAGGGAGGCAACATGTCTGGCCTGGCAGTAATAGGCCTTGGGTTACTGCTGGTAATCCTGCCTTCCCCTTGTAGGGTTAGAGGAGGTCAGAACATGTGGCCTCCTTGTCGTTTTTGCACCATCAGAGAGATGCAAATCAAACAACGAGATACTATCTTACCCCAGCTCTAATGGAAGAGTTGAACTAGACAGAACATAACAAATGCTGGCAAGAATGTAGAGAGATTGGGACTCTCATACACTGCTGGTGGGACTGTAAAGTGATAAAACCACTGTGGAAAACAGTATTGGGATTCCTTATAAACCTGGAATTAGAAATACCATTTGACCCAGCAATCCCATTACTAGGTATATAGCCTAAAGAAGTAAGAGCCAGGACAAGAACAGATATACGCACACCCATGTTTATTGCATCACTATTTGCAATAGCAAAAAGATGGAAACAACCTATGTGCCCGTCAGCAGAAGAATGAATAATCAAACTATGGTACATAAACACAGTGGAATGCTATGTCACACTAAAGAATGATGTAAAATCTGCAAAACATTGCATAACATGGGTGAACTTGGAGGACATTATGCTGAGTGAAATAAGTCAATCACAGAAGGACAACTGTAGTATTAGTTCATTATTGTATAAAGTCACAGAAAGGTTTATATATGGAAGGAAACTTTATTTGTTTACCATGGGTGAGAGGGGAGGGAGAGGGAACACTGCAAAAAAAAAAAAAAAATTAATTGACCCATGTCAACTTTAGTTTTGTGTATTTCTCTGTACATAAATTATATTTGATTAAATTCATTTTTAAAAAATGACCATAACCGTTTAGTTTATAAATATAAACATTAAATTGTCAATAATATTTCTTATAAATTAATGCTGTATTTTACCAGAAATGGAAATTGCTTTTGGTTTTACCTTGATATTCTACCAGGTATTTGTGAACTGTTTATGTAACTAAAATAAGTAACAATTTTTAGTGTCCAAGAAGTAAAGAAGTGAACTCTCTACTACTAGAAATATTGAAGAAAGGCTGAACAACTATAAAGGGAGGATGAAAACTCTCTCTCTCCTGGAAAGAAGTTTATACTAGGTGACCTCTAAGATTCTTTCCAATTCTAAAGTCGTATCATTCTGTAAATATTTTATGGCCACTATATATACATACATACATACATATATATATTTATATTTATGTAATCCATGAGAAGGAAATCTACATCATAAAAAAATAAACTTTTTTCACCCAAATCCTAATTAAAAAAAAAAAAAAAGTAACCAAAAAAATAAATAAATAAAAAATAAACTTTCTAAAAAGGAACAGGGAAAAGAAAAAAAAAGCTGAAAACTAGATCCTGGGAGTGGAATATGAGTATTTTTATAAAAACTATAATATAGCCTATAATGATTTTAGACATAAAAATACTTAAAATTTCTATTAAAATATTGTTTAATGTAGTATGCATATTCCCAGATATCAAGTGAAATGTGAATATGCAGTCATAGTGTTCTGGAAACATATATTAACTTGACTCTTTCTCTTTTTTTTGGCTTAGGGTACGCCAGTTAAGACAGTACCCATTAGGGAGTTTCAAAAACCAGAAGATATAAGAAGGTTTACACATCAAAGCAGGTATGAACAAAATTCTGGTGTTTTTTTTTTTCTCTTTAAACTCACAAGATCATGCTTCATGGCCTAACATATAGTCTATCCTGGAGAATGTTCCATGTGCACTGGAAAAGAATATATATATATATATAATATTGTGCTGTTGTTGGGTGAAGTGCTCTGTCTGTAAGGTCAAGCTGGTGGATGGTATTGTTTAGCTCTTCTGAGTCTTTGTTGAGTTTCTTTCCAGTTATTCTATCTGTAATTAAAAGTGGTGTATTAAAGTCTCCTACTATTACTGTGGAGTCATGTGTTTGCCTTTTCAATTCTGTTAAAGTCGAATTTATGTATTTTGGGGCTCTTTCATTAGGTGTATAAATATTTATTATGGTCATATCTCCTTTTCTTTGGTTTGTTTTTTATTGTGATTTGGGTGAAAGTTTACACAGCAAATTCACTTTCCATAGAGCAGTTCACACACACGTTGTTTCATGACATTGTCTACAATATACCCCACTGCAACAGCTCCCCTCCCACTTCCTCCCAATAGTTACCTCTTCCCTGTGTCCATCCCTCCTTGCACTCCTGCCCCCTGAGATGTCTTCTTGTGCCTTTTCTCCCATCATTGTTGTCTCCAGGGAGTGTATCTACTTCAGGTAAATGTTCAACTCATATGCCTATCTTTTGTTTGGCTGGAAGCCACAGGGGTGGGTTCAATTCCAGACCTGAAGGCCAGCTAGGGCCCATAGTCTCAGTAGTTCCACCAGGCTCTATCAGATCAGCAAACCTCGTTCCCCCCAGATCTCCCAAGTGAGTTTTGTTCCACAATGGTCTCTCTTTCTATCTAGAATCTCCTACATAGATCCGCCTCCAAGTGGGTGATAGTGCTGGCTAGGCACCTTCTAGTTCTTCTGGTCTCATAGTCATATAGGCTGCAGATCGCATGGTGTACCAGTTGCTAGGACTAATTGTTTCCATGAATCTTTGGTTTTCTTCACTCTTCTTTGCCCTGGACAAGAAGAGAGCCATGGTTGCATCTAGATGGCTGCTTGCAAGCTTTTAAGATCCCAGTCGCTACTCGCCAAAGTAGGAGGTGGAACATATTTTGTGTAATATGTTATGCCAGTTGAGCTTGATGTCTCCTGCACTTATGGTCCCAAGCCCACAGGTTCAACTGCTTGCTCCCTCTGGGTAGCTGGCTGTGACCAAGAAGTGACAACAACCTTGTCCCTTGTCAACTCTACTATACACCTGGGAATTCTTTTTTTTTTTTTTTTTTTATTATTTCCCTCAGTCTCTTTTTTTTTTTTTTAATTGTCATTTGGGTGAAAATTTACAGTGCAAATTCACTTTCCATACAGCAGTTCACATACACTTTGTCTAATGACACTGACCACAATTTACCACAATTCAACAGCTCCCCTCCCACTTCCTCCCAATAGTTACCTCTTCCTTGTATCCATCCCTCCGTGCACTGCTGCCCCCAAGCTGCCTCCCTGTGCATAAGCAGCCCTTGTTTCTCCCGTGATTGTTCTCTCCAAGGAGTGTATCTACCTCAGGAGAATGATCAACTCGTATGCTTATCTTGTGCTTGGCTGGAAGCCACAGGCGTGGGTTCAATTCTAGATTTGAAAGGCAGCTAGGGCCCATAGTCTCAGTAGTTCCACCAGGCTCTATCGGACCAGCAAACCTGGTTCCCCCCCACCCATTTTTTTTTCCTCCAAATGATTTTGAGTTTTGTTCCACATTGTTCTCCCTCTCTATCAAGGAACTCCTACATAGATCCCCTTGCAAGTGGTTGACAGTGGTAGCCAGGCACCATCTAGTTCTTCTGGTCTCATAGTCATATAGCTGCAGATCGGATGGTGTACCAGTCACTAGGACTAATTGTTTCCATGAATTTTTGGTTTTCTTCATTCTTCTTGGCTCTGGACAAGGAGAGACCCATTGTTGCATCTAGATGGCAGCTTGCAAGCTTTTAAGATCCCAGTCACTACTCGCCAAAGTAGGAGGTGGAACAATGTTTTGTATAGTATATTATGGCAGTTGAGCTTGATGTCCCCTGTGACTATGGTTCCAAGCCCACAGGTTCAACTACTCAGTCCCTCTGGGTAGCTGGCTGTGACCAAGCAGTGACTTACAACCTTGCCCCTTGTCAGCTTTACTATACTCCTGGGAATTCTGATCATTCATATATACTTATAGGACCATTGTCTGCCAACCCTATACATGTTCTTGGATACACTCCCCACTTCATAGACATGCATAATAATTCAGCTTGTCCACCCATCTATCCACCCATATACCAATGTTTGCGTTCACTGACAATGCATTACTGTATGTGCAAAAGGGTTCATCTTTGTTGTCTGTACCTCCCATGTACCTCTCTGACTTCCTCTTCCTCAGTGCCACCATGTTGATCACTCACATTTGGTACATTGCCCTTCTCTTCACCCAAATACATACTTATCTCTACCTATCTATCATTGTTCCCTACCCTCCCCTTGCACCCCTGGTAACCAACAAAGAAAATTTCCTTCCACAGATGAACCTTTTCTTAACTTTTACTGTAATAGACTAATATAATATTTGTCCTTCTGTGATTGACTTATTTTACTCAGCAAAATGTCCTCCAAGTTCATCCACATTATGTGGTGTTTTACAGAGTCTACGTTATTCTTTAGGGCTGCATAGTATTCCATTTGTGTGTATATACCATAGTTTGCTTATCAGTTCCTCAGCTGATGGTCATCTAGGTTGTTTCCATCTTTTGGCTATTATAAATACTGCTGCAGCGAGCATGGGTGTGCATATGTCTGTACTTGTCATGGCTCTCACTTCCTTAGGATATATACCCAGTAATGGAATGACTGGGTCAAATGGTAGTTCTAATTCCAACTTTTTAAGTAATCACCATGCTGCTTTCCACAGTGGTTATACTATTTTACAGTCCCACCAGCAGTGTATGAGAGTCCCAATCTCTCCACATCCTTGGCAGCATTTCTTATTTTCTGTCTTGTTGAGCTTTGCTACTAGTGCTGGATCAAGATGGTATCTCATTGTTGTCTTGATTTGCATTTCTCTCGCTCTGGTAGCCTAGTGCCTAAGGGACTTGACTGCTAATCAGAAGGCTGGAGGTTCAAACCCACCAGCCATTCCTCAGAAGGAATGTTGGGCAATCTACTTCTATAGTGATAACTGCCTCGGAAACCGAAGGAAGGGTGGCTATGAGTCAGGTCCAACTTGACAGCACATTAACAACAACAACAAATAGCTAATGATTGTGAGCATTTCTTCATATGTTTGTTGGCCACTTGAATATCCTCTTTGGTGAAGTGTCTATTCATGTCTTCTGCCCATTTTTAATTGGATTATTTGTCCAACCTCCATGGTGTTAGAGTTTTCTATACATTGTAGAGATAAGTCCCTTGTCAGGTAAGTCATTGCCAAATACTATTTCCTAATCTGTAGGTTTTCTTTTGACTCTTTTGGAGAAGTCTTTGGAAGCACATAAATATTTAATTTTTAGACAGTCCCGTTCATCTAGTTTCTCTTCTACTGTTTGTGCCTTTTGGTTTATGCTTTATAGTCTATTTATACCACATCCTAGGGCCCCTAAATTTGCCCCTAGGATTTCTTTGAGGAACTTTATACATTTCACATTTAAGTCTTTGATCCATCTAGAGTTAGTTTTTGTTGATGGTGTTAAGTACAGATCTTGTTTCATTTTACTGCAAATGGATATCTAGTTTTGCCAGCACCATTTATTAAACAAACATTCTCTTCCCCATTTAATGAATTTCTGCCCTTTGTCAAAGATTAGCTGACCATAGGTCAATGGATCTGATTCTGGGTTCTCAATTCTATTCCACTGGTCTCTATGTTGGTCATTTGACTACTGTGACTGTATAGTAGGTTTTGAGATCCAGCATTGTGAGACCTCCTACTTTGTTCTTCTTCTTCAATAGTGCTTTGCTTATCTGAGGTCTCTTTCCTTTCCTTATAAAGTTAGGGATTGGTTTTTCCATATCCTTAAAATATGTTGATGGGATCTGGATTGGGATTGCATTGAATGTATAGATTGCTTTGGGTAGAATTGACATTTTCACAGTGTTCAGTCTTCCTATTCACAAGCATGGTATATGTTCTTCCATTTATCTAGATCTCTTGCATTTCTTGAAGTAGTATTTTATAGTTTTCTTTGTATAGGTCTTTTGTGTCCCTGGTAAGATTTATTCCCAAGTATTTTGTTTTTTTGGTAGCTTTTGTAAACAGTATTAATTTCCTTATTTCTTTTTCAGCAATCTCTTTAATGGTATAGAGGAATCCAACTGATTTTTGGATGTTGATCTTATATCCTGCCACAATGCTAAATCTCTCAATTAGTTCCAGTAGATTTTTGACTGAGTCTCTTGGGTTTTCTAGGTATAGGATCATATCATCAGCAAATAGGGATAGTTTGACTT